ACAATACACCACTGAAACCAGGACATGCAGCTGCATTCTCAGAAGATTGTGATTCAACCTCTACTAAAGTTGTCATCCGTGGAGCAGGGAACCAAGTAAATCCCCCCCCCCCCCATAAAGGTTTAAAAAGGAAGGAGCTCATCCTTTTCCATTGTTTACATTCCCCAATTATTTCAACCCCAACTCAAGCATTCTATTCTAGATTTATAGACCTGACAACACAATTCTCTTTGAATATCTGGTGAAATATCAGTATCTAGATCCCATTGCCTTAGAACCTCAACCTTATTTTTATTGGCTAATTATCTTAGAAGTCTTAGTTTAACAAGCTATTTTCTTAACTGGTTATAAAATTATTAATCTTTTTCTGTTTGAAGCAGCAAGAGTATGTATTCCATTTGTTTTTAGTACAATTACATTGGCTATCTTGACTATAAAAAGGAAAGAATCCGTAAACTTTCCATGAAAGCCAGTACCTGCTCATTTAATCCTGGAGTTTTCGTTGCAAACCTGACAGAATGGAAACGACAGAATATAACCAACCAGTTGGAAAAATGGATGAAACTCAATGTTGAGTAAGTATATAACTGACCTAGTCAAAAACTTATTTCAACCCTGAGAATCTTGAGTAACAGAAGTTGGTCAGTACTTCACTGACATTTGTTATTTTTCCCACCAAGAGAGGGACTGTACAGCAGAACACTGGCTGGCAGCATCACAACACCACCTTTGCTTATTGTATTCTACCAGCAGCATTCCACCATTGATCCTATGTGGAATGTCCGTCATCTTGGTAAGTAAGTAATTAACCAACTCCTAAGCTAATAAAGGATTAAGTGTCCAAGGAAGGAACTACCTTCAAGAATTGGACTTAACACTGTTTCAAGTTGTTTGGCATGGTATTGCCTTGTGTTTGACAGGTATAATCATTTGGCTCTTTCTCTTAAGGTTCCAGTGCTGGAAAACGGTATTCACCTCAGTTTGTAAAGGCTGCCAAGTTACTCCATTGGAATGGACACTTTAAACCATGGGGAAGAACTGCTTCATATACTGATGTTTGGGAAAAATGGTATATTCCAGATCCAACAGGCAAATTCAGCCTAATCCGAAGACATATGGAGATCGCAAACATAAAGTAAACTAGAATTTAAAACTATAAGCATTTCTCAAGAAATCCTTGAAAGTAACAGTGTGGGAAGTAACAGTTGGTAGGCCTCAATTCCTATTTGTTGCAACCCATGGAAAAAGAGATGTTTCAGCTCAGTAAAGATGACAAATTGCCCTGTCTGGCAGTCAGCTTCCCAGATAGACTAAAAATATGTCTCCATCTGTCTTACCAACTGTTTGCTTACTACAGTGCTGACTGGCCAGAAGAAAGAACTGGTAAGACTGATATAACCAGTTCAGCTAGCTCGTATGGCTAGCTCAAAACTGCTGCCTGGTTTTAATTTTGTAAACCTGTGGCCCAATCTGTAAATAAACCTACATTTTTCAGTAGACTTCTTTGCTTTTAGATAAATACTTCTATCCCTTCACTGTTTAAGAGAGGAGTTCAATGTAAATTTTTTAAAAATATATATTTTTAGTCATTGATGGTCCTTTATTGTTTATATGCAATGTTGAGAATCAAATCCAGTGTGTCACATATGCTAGGCAAGTGCTCTACCACTGTATATATTTTTTAAAACTGTATTTGTATTAATGTATACATCATAACACATATTCACAAAATTTACACTTTGTCATGGCAAAACTGGCACATTATACACAGAACATTTTGATAGTTTTATAAGGATTTCCTTAACATCTTAAGCAAAGGACAAGTTTCTATTACACATAATCTGTGCTGAAATCATAAGCATCATCTTCTTGAGTCATTTTATCCAAGTTTAAAGAGCTTGCAGATTCACCTGAAATGGAGAAAAATAAAGTGAGGTTTACAAAGCAATTCTATGCTTAAGCTACTTTGTTAGAAGTCCTTAGCCTCAAGCTCACCTGCTGTAGATTCTTCAGGTGGAGGTGGCTCTCTTTTCTCTTCTATAGGAGGCATGTCTGAGATCTTTTCCTATGGGATAAAGAAATGATGCAGATAATTTAATAGTCTTTGAATGTACACTTGTTACAATACCAGAAAACTCACTTTGACTCAGAGAGAGAATACACTTACATCAGCTTCTTCACAGTCAACAATCTCTTCCTCACTGACCATGTTTTCATTATCCTTCCCCTCCTCCTGTTTTCTTTCTCTCTGTCTTGGTAATTCTTCAGGTATGTCCTTTTCCTCTATTACTCCATTTGTCAGACCCGAAGACTGGAAAAGTATGCTCTTGGCTAAATGAGGGCCCTTGATGGCTAGTAAAGGAAAATAAAAGACCATATAAACAGATATGACCTAATAAAGATCTTTTAAGCAGATGAAAATAAGCAGTGAAACAAAAGTCTCTCTCACCTTCTATGCTATGTGCATTGCTCTTTTCCAGTTCCTCAAGATTTAAGCCCCTTTTCATGCCTGCCACAATACTTTCATTAAAATGTGGAGGAGGAGTCCAGGAAGTTGGGGGATGACAATAGTAACTTAATGAGGCACTGAAATTAAAAATAGGATCTATAAAAAAACAGTTACTGCCAGGTGAATCCAGTGGCTTAGGAGGCTGAGGCAGGAAGATTCCAAGTTCAAAGTCAGCTTCAGCAACTTAGCAAAGCCCTAAACAACTTTGGCAAGACTCTGTCTCAAAAAAACAAAACAAAAACAAAAGGGCTGGGGATGTGGCTAAGTGCTCCTGGGTTCAATTACTGGTACTTCCCCCTCTCCCCCCACACACCCACCCACACAAACGTGCTGGGGATGGATGTGGCTCAGCAATGGAGAGCTCCTGGGTTCAATCCCTAGTACTCAAACAATGCCAATAGAATCCTTACCCTGTCCACTCAGACCACAGTAGTTTGGCAGCACGTTCAACATTTGGGCTTCCACCTTTTTGGTGCAGACCTCTCCTCTGAGCAAGTTTAGTAAACAATTCCAGAGAATTCTTATAGTCTGGGACAGTATAATGCAGTACAACCTTAAAGCAAAATAGGAAATTTCATTTGACTAATTGAGTAAATGAAAAAAAAATTATCTATTTAAAATGCTTATACTACAAAATGGTGGTGAGGAGCTCAATAGAAGGGGAAGGAGTTCTTTACCTGTCGAGCATCAGCCTGGGACAGGATGGCACTGGCAGCCTCCATTGGTTTTACTGTTTCAATACTTGCTGGACTCCGCAGAGCAAGTGCAGTTAAGGAGTTAAGTGGTGACACAATCAAACTTGGACTATCTATGATTGTGATCTGTTTGTCCAAGGGAACAATCTGCATGTTCCTGAAAGAAAAGAAATAGAATCACCAGGGGCACAGGTTATATCTGGAGGGCAACAGAGAACACGAAGCTCAGGGTTGGATTGAACAAACTCAACACAGTGAGTCAGATCCAATTTATCATCATTTGCTTCATGTTTACCTGAAAGCCTAACATTGTATTCATTTTTTTTTTTTTGAGAAAAGCACTACATGTTGTAGTTCATATACCTACCTAAACACATGACTATTTCCTCTACCCTAAATACTGTCATTTTTTTCTACCTGGCAACCTGTCTCTCATTTCCCAAAGCCAGGTGCAAACATCACTTTCTCGGAGGCGGCTCTTTTCTCTCTCAAATTAGTTGCTTAATTTGTCTTTAAAACTATATTGCAAGCAGCCACCCCACTCCAATCAATTCTTCCCCAAGCACACCGCTGGTTCCACCCTCTTTACTGAAAGGAAATGACCATCCTCTGGATAATAAAATCATATTTACTCATCTGTAAGAAAAATTCTTTGTTATAGAACACCATAATTTACCTTGTAAGACCCATGGAAACACCAACATTACATATCCGCTCTTTTTTTAAGCTGTTAATGATGCTGCTCTTGCCTACATTTGGGAAACCTACAAATAAATAATTCAGATATAAAAGACAGTATGGACTGATCATTATGAAATTTCCTCTGCACAATTTTATGTTTGCCCGATGTTTAGAGCAAGAGTTGGATCTGAGTGTCTTCGCAACACTAGGACCAATAATTAGCTCCTTCATTCCTTACAGAAGTAATAAGAGGGCAGGAAAATACTATTAATGCAAATAAAGGAGGAGTATGCCTGTATGTATTCATTTGCATACACAAGGCCTTGCACATGAAAAACAAGTGCTCTTACCACTGAGCTACATCCATATCTACCATGAGCCAACTTGCTACAGTGAACTGAACTTAGGCGCAATTATGTAAATTTTTCTCTAAATCTTTTGTATGGTGGTAAATGGGGCAAGAGCTAATTTTTTTTTTTAATATTTATTTTTTAGTTCTCGGCGGACACAACATCTTTGTTGGTATGTGGTGCTGAGGATCAAACCCAGGCCGCACGCATGCCAGGCGAGCGCGCTACCACTTGAGCCACATCCCCAGCCCCATCAAGAGCTAATTTTTGAGTAAACTATTTCATAACCTTGTTGTCACTTAATATCAGCTAAGTAGATCTTGAAATTTGATTGAACTCAGGGGCACTAGACCACCGAGCCACACCCCCTGCCCTATTTTGTATTTTACTTAGAGACAGAGTTTCACTGAGTTGCTTAGCACCTTGCTAAATTCCTGAGACTGGCTTTGAACTCTCCTATCTTTCTGAGCTGCTGAGGATTACAGGCATATTGACCTGCTAAGTAGTTCTTGACCCAAGAAAAAAGGTAGAATGTGGTGAATTAAAACTCACCAATTACTCCAACGTGAATAGCTCTGCCGTAAGTCTCCTGAAAACCTCCAAGAAGTTTCAAGAGGCATTCTTTGCCAAAGCACACTTTATGTTTGAGTGGAACAACTTTCTTCATCTTGACATGTTAAAATTCAAAATACATTAGTTTAATTATTCTGACAATAGATAAAACCCAAGAAATCTGGCATCACTAGACAATTGCCTTTCAGATATCTCTGGATGAAATCAGAGTTGGATCTTATTGTCTTTCATTTTTTAAAAATCAACATTTTGCATACTCATCATATTTCAACCATTGAAAATCTGAAAGAACCACACTTCTCACCACTAATAGTAAAGTGTACCTTGGTTATCTTCCCTTTGTCCTTCAGGTATGTTGAGGCTTTAAACACCACTGTTGGCAATTCTTTCTTCAAATAATTTAGCCAGCTCTCCAAATTCTCCCTTGGTATTAGATCTGATAGGAATTACAAATATGACATATTCTTCAATTTAAATTTCACTATTGTTTGCCTTTTTTCAAAAGGATTTAAATGGAAAATGAGGGAAGGGCAAGCTGCCCTCATCCTAATATCTACACTTCTGTATTTCAGTTCCTCCTGTATAGCTCAACCTTCCAGAACTGAAGTCAACCTCTACATTATACCCTACAGTTATTTCCAGGATTTACCCTCAATTAATTTAACAACCTGGGATTCTAACCTTAACAGTGATTATTCTTACATTATGTTTCAAAGAGTCTCTGTTCTGGTTTCTACTTTCTGGTTTCACCCTTCCACTGCTCAAACTTAGACAATCTTTCATTTAAATATTTGTCACATAAATTTCACTTGCTTTGATCTAATACTCAACATTGTGCAGGTGGCAGGAATTTTGAACACTGTCATCACATTTTGAAGGGGAAAACCAGGGATTAAGGGGCGCTTAACCAATGGGCCACAATCCCAGCCCTTTTTTGTATTTTATTTAAAGACAAGGTCTCACTGAGTTGCTAAGTCTGGCTTTGAACTCATGATCCTCCTACTATAGCCTCCCAAGTCACTGGGATTACAGGCATGCACCACTGCACCCAAATCTCAACAGTTCTTTACATGAAAGTACCAAATAGCAAAAGAATAGGAAAAAACAGTCCTATCACTTGTGGAAACAACCTATTTCCCACCACCCAGCGCTATCTTTGGCAACTACAGTGCACGTGCTCTGGCTTTGTTGAGGTCAGAGTTGGATCTTATCAGTCTTCAGTGACAATCAAGACTGTTCAGATGTTTTCCTCATACCTCACTCGTGCAGGTCGAGAAAAAAAAAAAAAAGACCAAAGACATCCCTTTTCCTCACCTGATTTATTTAATACAAGTACCAGCTTTTTATGTCCACTCTGGACAATAGCATCTTCTACCTGAGGACACCTACAACCAAGAGGATCTCTGGCGTCCAACACTTCTAGCAAAACATCTGAGGCTTCAATCACCTGTCAAGGAATAAATAATCATAATGTACTCCTTGTTTTGGGAATATCTTTATCATGAGTCTACTGGGATTATACACTTGGCAACAAGGTAAGCTTAGAGTTGGAGCTCATGTCTTCATTTTAGAATGGAGAACATTGAAATGTTCATCATTTCTCATACAGCTTGCTCAGCAGCCTCTGAACAGCATGGGTTTTAAAGTATAAATACCCCCATCTTCTGAATATGTCACCACCCACACTGAATTATGTAGTCTGATAGGCCCTTTTAGCCTTGGGAACAACTACACCAAGAATATACCACCCTGTTGATCTTGGAGTTACCTTTACAAGGCTGGTGCCAGGAGTCTTAATTTTTTGAATCAATACCATTTTTTGACACTGACCTAGACTAAGGTACCTTTTTAAGTTCCTGACAATATAACTTCTTTGGGTGCTGTTTGCTCAACTTGGCTTTCTTAGTTTTGCACTGCTCCAATTCCTAGAGAACATATTAAGGATGAAAGGACACAAAATTAGATATATGGCAATTGTAACCTGTATTTTCCACGATTAGGATCAGTGTAGTTGACTTTTTTCCCCAGTATTTTTGATTGTACATAATATCTTTATTTTATTTATTTTTATGTGGTACTGAGGATTGAACCCAGGGCCTCGCACATGCTAGGCGAGTGCTCTACCGCTGAGCCACAAGCTCTGATTTTTAAAAAATATTTATTTTTTAGTTGAAAGCGAACACAATACCTTTATTTTTTATATTCATGTGGTGCTGAGGATTGAACCTCACGCATGCTAGGCAAGCACTCCTCTTCTGAAGTACAACCTGAGCCCCAATTTTTTAAAATACTGAAAACTGAACTCAAGTTATCTTCCTCCCAAAAGGTCCACTGTTGAGAGCCACAGCCAAAGGGGCCCCAGCAAACTTCCAGCTGCCAGCAAGCTTCAGACTGCCCCAGCAACATCTAGCTGAGTCCACCAACCTATATATATGCAACTCATTTCTTTTCTTTTTTTCCGTTGTAGAGTGAACACAATACCTTTATTTTTTAATGTGCTACTGAGGATAGAACCCAGTACCTCACACATGCTAGACAAGTGCTCTACCACTGAGCTATGACCCCAGCCCGTCATTTCTTATTTTTTAAAAAGATGTAATCCTACCTCCACAGGTTCCACATCAGATGGCTCACCAACAGGATTAGTTTCAAGTTTTCTTTTCTTTTCTTGTTCCTTCTGCCTATCAAGTTTCTGCTGTTGTTTTAGTTCTTCCAGCTGTGTCCAAGAGAAATGAGAAATGAGTGAGACAGTGATGATTAATGTTGTTAACTTATTTTAGGACACTTCTTTATTTTGGAAGTGTTTTGGTTAACATAACTTACCTGCTGTTTCCTTAGCTCAGCTTCCCTAAGAAGAGCTTCCTTAAAAGGAGCACTATTTGGAACTCCTGGGTCTTTCCTAGGCTTTTTGTGACCCCGTTTTTTAGCTTCCCTTCTCAATTTCCGATGATGCTCCCGAACCTATTATGAAAAAAAAAATTCCATTTAATTAAAAAAAAAAAAAATCTTTCTACTTGACCAGAATTTAAGTGAAAAACCAGACTGGCTGCAGTTCAGTTAATCCTTTAAAAATGTCCTAAAGAAATGGTTTAATTGGAATCATATAAGCAACAAATATATGTTTAAAACAGCAAAAAAAAGTCACAAGGAGGTTGTTTGTAAGAATTATTATCATGTTTACAGATCTTATTACCAAATTATTGTACTTTCCCATAGCTGTACTCCTTATACATATAAGAGTTTGTATCTATGGAATATCTAAATTTCTAAATATTTAATCCAGTCTTCCTCACTGAAGATGGGGCAAAAATCAGATTTACAATACATTTAGTACACCTGTCCCAAGAAAAACACTTCTTACCTTTTTTTGGATTTTATACCGCTTATGACAAGTCATGCGTTTACTTGCTTTCCTCAACTCTACAAAAATAACAAAAAGTTTAAAATGAAATAGCCACAAATGACCAGTATATTTAGTTTTTGTTGAGTAGACTATGCTGGCATGTCTTTTTTTCTGTTAAGACGTTAGTTATACCTACATTTAATAATTATGTGGGGAATCAATACGAGCGTACATGCCATTTTCAAATCCCACTGAATGGATTCAATAGATCAGAAATGGAGCCATTCCCCGCACCTACTCTTCCGACATTAGAATGAGGTCACACACAGGAACGTGAGACCCTGAAGGACAGCCACTTCGGATCAAGCACCACCAATCACAGGCAGGAGGAACAGCGCGTTTGGAAGGCGGCTCTCCACTCTTAGCCGCAGAAGGGAAAACACTGGTCTGGTCTTCTCCACCCTTCGGGCCAAGCCTTCCTTGTGGACAGTGGGTTCACGGTTAACAGGATCGACTGGGGCCTTGCAACCCTCATTCTACGAGGGAACGCGGGAACAGGGACTCCACAGTCCACCCCCCACCTCCCCAGAGACCAAGTCATAAAAGAACGCCCTGGAGAGTTCTGCGATCACCAGAGGTAGGGGCCTCTTCACCCCCTTCTGGAGACCCCACTCACTCGGCCGCTTCATGGTGTAGTCGGTCAAAACAGCAGCAGCCGCAGAGATACCAGAAAACGACGTAACTCCACGATCGCCACGTGCTAACTGAGGCCACGGCTGAACGTCACGCACTCACGCTACTGCCGTAAAGTGCGACGCCGTTCTTTCGCGTGCGCGCGCACGCAGTGTCGCGCAGAATTGGGTTCGTCTGGCGGCCGCGGGCTAGTTTTACGGCAGCGCTGGG